TAATAATTTCTCTATTAATCACTGTTTGCATTGTCTAATCATATTGAGAAAATGGCTTAAAATAATAAATGACTTTTCAAGGCATTTTTTTCTCTTAACTATTAAATTTATGACAAGATGTAATTGGCAAAACAAATGGTTTTGTTTTGTAAAAGATCCAAGGCTATCTATGCTTGGTCAAAGCATGCTAGATTTAGTGTAACTGCTCTTTTGGTAAAGGAATTTAAATGTAAGACACTATAAAATAGTGCCAACCTAATAACCTATTTTTTTGGCTTATTTATATTTGAGGGTTTCTTTTTCTTTTTCTTTTTAAAATGCAGTGGAGTTGCTCCTTATATGCATTTAGTGAAGCAACTTCTCCTTATGGTGGTAAAACAAAAAGCTTTTATTTTTTTCTTCACCAAAATTTTCTCTGCCATGTAACATTGAGCAGTACTTCTTTTTTGGGGGGGGGGGTCTTAATTTGAGTCTTTTTTGAAGTCCTGAAGCAGTTCAAAGAGTATTGAGAGCAAAGTTAAGCTTTTTCTGCAGCTTTCTCTGGGGCTTAACTTTGCACATTTATTATTGTGTCCAGTTTTTATTTTAGCTAAAATGTTGGCTTTATGAATTCATAATATAGGAAGAATTTCATTTGAAGATTATGATATATAGAATTTGGAAAGTATACATTTAAGAGTGGTTTAAACGTATATTATATATGGACTTACATAAGTGATTTTTACAAATTGAAAGGACATTTACTAGATGGTTAACAGCAGGTGGTATTGTTTGATGGTGGGATTATAGATGATTTTTTTCCCCTTTTGCTTATGGGGGCTGATGAATGTATAAAAAAGAAGAAAAAAACCTATTCTAGTTTCTAGGAATCCACAAAGGCTTTTTTGGTTCACAAAGGGCCAAAATCTATTTTCAGTACTCACCAACCCTAAAGGAAATAATATATTCATGAATAATTGTACCTCAGAGTCATACGACATAGAGTGACATCAAGTTTATTTTGGCTTTAGCTAGAATATGTAAGTTTTCCGATAATGCTGGTTATTAGCTAGCAGCTGCTTTCTTTGGTAATTATATGTCTGGGCATTACAAATACATATGTATCTGTATATATGTATATTTATTTATTTAGTACTGCTTAATTTAAGAGTGACTTAAACTTAGCATTTCTGTTTTTTAATTTTAATTTTTATTTATTGGGTAAAGTTGGCTAAAACATTACATAAATTTCAGGTGTACAGCATTATAGTGCAATGTCTGTATACTCAATTGTGTGTTCACCACCTGAAATCTAGTTCACTTCCATTACCATGTATTTAAAGCATTTTTGTTTCTTTAAACATCTTTTTGGTCTATACTTTGAAAGACTAAGTAATGTTCAGGTATCATTGCAATATAATGTTAAGTGTTAATGCTGAAACTCATCTCAGGGAATTTTAGTTAGGGAAGATGCAATGGGGTAGAAAACAGTCTTTGAGCTTCCACTTATTCATGATACTGTGCTGGGTGCTCTACCTATCCTATCTTTAATTTCCATGACTACATTATGAAGAGGAGATGTATTAGTTTTAATTTGCATATGGGAAAATGAAGATTCAGAGAGATGAAGCAACTGGAATGGCTTTAAGCATTTGAAATAATATTTATACATAGTTCATATTGCTACTAGGAATTATCACAATATTAATTTTTCTTTAAGAGTACATATAATTTGTTCAGTGTGATAGATCAGCATTGCATATGTAGAGCTTCTTAATAATATAACAACATTTAGGGATTATTAAAAAAACTATCAGGGCATTCTTTCCCCCCATGAAAATAACTTTCTCTGATTATATAATAGATACCATTATAAAGGATTCAAGTAATACATAGAGATATAAAGAAGAACATAAAGTTAACTTAAAATCTCACCACCTGTGATGCAAAAAAAAGAGAATCACCAAAATATTTTTGCATTTCTTTATGCAAATTTACAATGTTATACAAATAGGATTATAATCACACAGGAGATATTTACAAAATACCATCTCTCCCCCTCTCGCAGCACCCCACACCCAGTCAGTATATACCATCATCTTTACCATGACAAGCTAGTATGTGTCATGTTTCTCTCCATGCTTAAATATTTTATTCATACAGTCCTATACAGACCTATATATAGAGTTATAGTGATTTTTAGTCACTATTAGTCAATGTCAGTGAACATTTGAGTACTTTTTAAGTGTAAGGCTTTGTGGTAGTTGTGTGAGAGCGTCAAGGAAGAGTAATTTATGGCCTGTATTTTCAATCACTTTACAATCCATGAGGACAGATGAGCAGGTGAACAACTTGTATTATGTAGGACTTGCTTTGATATTTGCTGTTGGGTAGAAATGTTGGGTGGAAACACAGCCTGGAAAGCCCTGCAGGGGAGCTTCCTGAGGGCAGAGGCTTTGCCTTTTTGATTCTTGTGGGCATAAACACTTGACACATGGGATTATGCTCAGTGTCGGTAAATAAATGTCTGTAAATACAAGTCATATATCCAAGCAAAACAAAAATTATTCTGTTGACTGGTTTAAATGGATTAGCTCTTGTAGTTTGAGAGCCCAGTAGAGAAGTAATTTGTATATTTGCTTTGTTTCTTTGAAGTGGAATTACTCGTTTTCCCATCAGGGAATTTAATTTTTTCCTTTAAGGTTTAGGCACTTTGTAATAAGGAGGAGGTGTAATATTTTGCTGTTCAATTTTGTCTGTATAGTGCATGGCAGTTTGTAGTTTAAGGCAGTGTAACTAGTGGTACTTTCTAACACAGAAATCCTTATTTGCTCAAAAGTAAGCTTAAACATTCACTTTGATCTTAAATCTAGTGCGTAGGTTGAATGAGAACTTACACATTTGCATATGCCAAATATAAAACTTGGATAGCAAGCATATTGGGGAGAGAAAGGGGAGAAAATAAATTTTCAGTGAAACATGAATTTCAGAGTGTTTGAAAAGGAATAGGTTTACAGTTTCAAGCCAGAGTTTATTCTTGTATTACTATTTATTAATTCTTGTATTACTTTCCATACAAGCAATTGTAAACCTACTTTTGCCCTACCCTGTATATAAAGGAAATAAAACAGGGCCAAGATCATATTTCCCTCCTAAAGGGAAAACTATTTAATTTAACATTGAAATGATTGGTGTAGTGAAACATGGAAGCTACATGGCTCAAGAGGGAAAACAATGAAGACCATCTACGTTATAGTGAAAGAAGAGTGTTCAAGGCAAATGATGTTGATTTATCATGACCCTGAAAGAATCCTTAAATTACCATAGTGGACACATGCTCACTTTTGATGGCGGCTTCAGACAACTCACTGGTTTTTGTTTAACTCTAAGAAAATTCTGTTTTTGTAGAAATACTTTTTCTATGTTCCCACCAGCAATGTATGAGAGGTCCAGTTCCACATCCTTATCAGCATTTGGTATTGTTAGTCTCTTCAGTTTTAGCCATTTATGCAGTGGTATCTCATTGTGCTTTTAATTTGAGCTTCCCTGATGATGTTGAGTATATTTCCATGTGCCTGCTGGGCCATTTGTGTATCTTTAGCAAAGTAATTGTTCAGATCTTTTGCCAATTATGTTTTTATTGGCCTTTTTAAAAATTGAGTTGTTAGAGTTCTTTATATGTTCTGCATACAGATTTTTAAAAAATCAGATATGTGTTTTTATTCTTTTATTTTCTTAACAGTGTCATTTGAAGAGCAGTTGTGAGTTTTGATGAAGTCCAATTTATCAATTTTTCTTTTAAGCAATGTACTTTTTGTGTAATATCTAAGAAATCATTGCCTAATTTAAGGTCACAAGGTCTTTCTGTTCTCTATAAATTTTGTAATTTTAAGTGTTACATTTAGATTTATGATTTATTTAAAGATAATTAAAAAATTAATCCTCATCTGAGGACATTTTTTTCATTGCTTTCAGAGAGAGAAGAAGGGGGAAAGGAAGGAAGACAGAAACATTGAGGCAATAGAGAAGCATCAGTTTGTTGCCTCCCATCCACAACCGAACCAGGAATCGCACGCGCCCATACAACCAAGGTATTTTGGGTGACTTAATGATGTATTCTTCCTAGGCTTTCTTCAAATGACAAATTGTCCTCCATTATGCACATCGTGTTCTGACTACAGGCACACAGAGTAGCTGGAGGTTGATACCTTTCTGCCATATTAAGTATTTAGGTGTACATGCCTCTTAAAATAAAAAAAATTATTTTTAGGGGGAAGGGGACACCACCCCCATTTTTCCACTTATTGATGATGCACTCACTGGATGACTCCTGTATATGCCCCAGCCAGGGACCAAACCCACAACCCTGGTGCATGGGGATGATGTTCCAACCAATTGAGCTACCCAGCCATGGCTACATACCTCTTTTATAGCAGTCAGTTGTGTTTTGTTCATATGCCTATTTCTGACTAGATGGAGCTGTTGGAGGGCAAGGACAGTGTATTATTTACCTTTGTTGTAGAGTACCCGTCACATCAAGGACACGCAGGAAAAGTTTGGATTAATGAGCGCAATGGCTTCAAAACACACAGGTCTTCTTGCAAGTAATTGTCTTGTTAGACTTGACTCTTGCAGTTATTACAGGTTTCATCAACACAGTCATGATTCTTTCACTTCTTGGTAAAATGCACATAAGTAGGCTTTTGAGGTAGGCCTCAGTATGAATGCCAACTCTACCAATTTATCATCTGCTTTTTAAAATTCATTTAATCATAAAATTCACTCTTTTAGAACACACAGTTCTGTGGTATTTAGTGTAGTCACAGGGTTGTGTATCCATCACCACTATCTAATTCCAGAATATTTCTGTCACCTCAAAAAAGAAACCCCTTACCCTTACCCATAGCCACACCCATTAGCAGTCACACCCCGTTCCTCTTCCCCTATCCCTTAGCAACTACTAAAATGTATCATTTTTGTTCAAGGAAAAGATATTAAAATGATCTAATTCTATAACCAATTTCTGATAATATCACCCTTTAGAAATGTGTTAAAAGGAGGCATTAATTGATTTTTCTCCTTGTAGGAAAGAACACCAGAAATGGATACGACGGGGCAAACAATGAGTGGAGGTAAAATTTACTTATCTAAAAAGTGATAATAATTTTTGTTTTGATTTGGAATGAATATTTTCTGGTTGACTGAACTTTTGAAAAAGCCTTTTTAAAAATAAAAATAATAGGAGACTTGTTAGGTGCTTAAAATTGGAATTTTAGAACTGAAGAACTATTAAAGGTAATCTTGTCTTCCCTTACTAGTTTATAAATGAGAAAACTGACACTCAGGGAGGTGAAGTGAACAGGTGATACAACAATCTCTGCCAGTGCCAAATTCAGAATCCAAGTCTTCTAACTCTGATTTGAGTGATTAAAAAAATGCTTCATCCTGACTTGCTCTAATGAGAAGACTGCTCATTGTCCTATGAATGTGCTACACTCATTTGCACTGTTTTAAGTTATATTTTCTTTCCCATAATACATACTTCACACCTTTGCCATCTTAAACCTAGTTTTTCTTTTAAGACTCAGTGCAAGTCCTGTGTCTTTCATGACTTTTTCTCTGGCGGAATCCTTTATGTATCCCCTGCTCTTTACAATTTTTTTAGGTGTATTAGTTTAGTGTAATCTCTGTAACTAGATTTTTAAAAATCATTTTCATTGCTATTCTGTTACGGTTGTCCCAGTTTTTCCCCCTTTGCCCTCCTCCCCCCACCCCCCACCGCTCCCACAATTGGTTCCCACACTGTTGTCCATGTCCGTGGGTCATTCATACATGTTCTTTGTCTAGTCCCTTTTCCTAGCTTCTCTAGAGCAGGAACTGTGCATTTATAGTTTTACTTTCTTTCCTATTAGAAAATCATATGGAGAACTATTTAGTAAATGTAAATATGCACTTTCTTTTTACTAGCCAAGTTATTTAAATAGAATGCATCCCATATATCCCACTCAGCTGTTTACGTATCTTGAAGAGTTATTCAGTTATAACCAGAAAGTAGGTCTGTTACCCTAAATGGTACACTTGGCATCATTCATAGGTCCTTCTTTAAGAAGCTTGTTGCTTAAGAAAAAGCTGAAAATAGAACTGCCTTTTGATCCAGTGATTCCCCTGCTGGGACTATACCCTAAGAACACCAAAACGCCAATACAAAAGAACCTATGCACCCCAGTGTTCATAGCAGCACAATTTACAATAGCCAAGTGTTGGAAGCAACCTAAATGCCCATCAGTAGATGATTGGATGAAAAAGTTATGGCACATATACACAATGGAATACTATGCAGCAGAAAGAAAAAAGGAACTACTAAACTTCGCGACAGCATGGATGGAACTGGAGAACATTATGCTAAGCGAAATAAGCCAGGGAGTGAAAGACAAATACCATATGATCTCACCTATAAGTGGAACCTAACCAACAATACAAAGATGCAAGGAAAATAAGACCAACAACACTGAAAGGAAAAGAAATCAACAGAGACAAGAGGGAAGGGGAAAGTCAAGGAACATATAGCAAGGACTCATGGACAAAACCAAAGGGGAAGAGCTGAGGGAGGGAAGGAGGGAGGGGGCAAGGGAAAGTGGTGGGGGGTAGGCAGAGACAAATGTATTTGAAAAAATAAAATAAAATTAAAAAAATAAAATAAAAAAAAAGAATTCAAGTATCAGTAAGGGTAAAACAGCAATAGATGGAAACACCTCAGATATGGTTAAATCCATGAGTTTATAATGATACCAAAAAAGAAAACTTGCTGTTTATTTGTGGAGAAAGCTAGGGATCCAAGTCATTATTTTGAAAACTAGAAAATAAAAAGAAGAAAGCATTGATTGTGACTTCTCTGTATGATCTGTATCTCAGGGTAACTGAATGGTTGAAGAGTGTAGTTTTCTCTCTCTATAAGTTTTCTGGCTAATAAAGACAGGACAATAAAATTAGAATATCTCCATTTTACAACTACTGATGATCTAATGGGTCTAGGCAATAGTCATCCAAGGCTGGTCATATCCCCAAAAAGAGAAAGAACTAGATATTTATTAGGAGCCTCCTGTGAGAAGTACACATTACCACCTATGAAATCATCTTCTCCTGTCCTCCCCCCGCCAAAAGCCAAATCTGAATCTGATTAAGCTCTTGATCAAAACATCAATCCTAATTTAGAGAAAATATAAGGACCAGAAGAACTCAGCACCATAAGGAGGTAGTTGGCAAAATCCAGGTTGGAAAACCCTCAACTGGCTCATCAAAAAAAAAAAAAAAAAATTGCTATGGGAAGGGGACAAAGGAAAAAAGGAGCCTATAGATCAAAATAATTATGAGACAGTGGTAAGACGGGAGGAGGGAAGTGGGGACTGTTTGAAATAAGGTAAAGGGATTAGTCAAAGAACAGGTGAAGCACCCATGGATATGGACTATGATGGGCTGGACTGTGGAAGTGGGGGTGGGCTGGGTGGAGGGGGGAAGGGGTAAAAATTGGGACAACTATAAAAGTGTAAACAATAAAACATTATTTAAAAAGGAATTATAAAACTATTGGAATCCATTAAACAAAAGCTAAAAAACGAAAAAAAAAAAAAGACTTGAGACATCAACCATTGCTATATATGGACTTTATTCATGTCCTGAGTCAAACAGTTCACTTAAAATAATTAAGACAGTTGAGGAAATATGAACACTGATGGCTCATTTGATGATATTAAGAAATTATACCTAATTTTTCTGGCATAGTAATTGATTTTTAAAAAAATTATGTATCTTTAAGAGATAGATACTGTAATATATGTGGATGAAATAATATATCTTCAATGTGGTGAAGTCACAAGGTCTGGCACTGTTTGAGCTCCTCAGCTTGGCACAGAACTCTGACTATTCCATTGAATTATATTATATTCTAGCTTCCTTGTTATATTTTAAACTCTCAAAAACATCCAATTTATTTCTAGGACACATTAATTTTAATATTGTAAGTAACAGCTCAGCTTGTTTTGGTTTATTTATTCATTTAACAAATGCTTGAGGGTGTTACTGCATGTGAGGTTCTGTTCTAGGCACTGAGAATACAGCAGTGAACATAACAGACAGAATAAATAAATTCCTGCCCTTTTCCAACTTACATTTAAGTGAGACATACAATGAACAAAATAAATGAGCAAATTATAAGGTACATAGTGTATTAGAAAGTGAAGTTCTGTGCAAAAACAAATGAGACTTAATTACAAAATTAAAACTGGCTCCTATCAGAAAATAGTTGCTATGGCCTTCTGGTATTGCTCACTCTTTTCTTTCTTTTTTAGATTCAGTGACTATCAAGCAGGAGATTGAAGAGGAAACTGAATCAGGCTCATCTGTGCAAAGTGGTAGGTTTTGAAAAAGTAGTTCAGTACAACTGTTTTTTTCCTCACTCAGTGTTAATATGAACTCTTACTGCTTTTGATATAGTCTCTTACAGCAAACTCCTGTAAATATAAAACCCAAGCAATAAGAAGGGTTAAAAAATATCAACAGAGACAAGAGGGAAGGGGGGGGCGGGGAAAGGGAAGGGAAGGGGAAAGTCAAGGAACATATAGCAAGGACTCATGGACAAAACCAAAGGGGAAGAGCTGAGGGAGGGAAGGAGGGAGGGGGCAAGGGAAAGTGCTGGGGGGGGAGGCAGAAACAAATGTATTTAAAAAGTAAATAAATTAAAAAAAATAAAAATAAAAATAAAAAAAATAGTATTTTGTTTTGAAATACTACTTTGGTTTTACTTAGAGATAAATTGATATTGGATTAAGTAAAAAGATAACCATGTGTTTCAATGTAAATTTTGCCAAATTAAATAAGACCAGCAACACTGAAAGGACAAGAAATCAACAGAGACAAGAGGGAAGGGGGGGGGCGGGGACAAGGAAGGGAAGGGGAAAGTCAAGGAACATATAGCAAGGACTCATGGACAAAACCAAAGGGGAGGAGCTGAGGGAGAGAAGGAGGGAGGGGGCAAGGGAAAGTGGTGGGGGGTAGGCAGAGACAAATGTATTTGAAAAAATAAATTAAAATAAAATTAAAAAAATTAAAAAATTAAAAAAAATAAAAATCAGTCAATAAAAAATAAAAACGAAAAATAATAACTTAATTATTAGTAAATGCCCTTCTAACAGTAGAGTCAGTGTGCACATCCTCTTTTTAAAATTTTTTTCATTGTTCAAATACATTTGTCTCCATTTTCCCACCACCACTTTCCCTTGCCCCACCCGCCCCCACCTCCCACCCTCAGTCCTTCCCCACCGTTGGCTTTGTCCATGGGTCCTTTATACACGTTCCATGACTTGACCCTTCCCCTTCTTTTCCCTGTTTTACCACCTGCCCTCCTCCCCTCTGATTACTGTCGGTTTGTTTTTTTCTTTCAGTGTTGCTGGTTATATTTTTCTTTCTTGTTTGTTTTGTTGATTAGGTTCCACTTATAGGTGAGATCATATGGTATCTGTCTTTTACCCCCTGGCTTATTGCACTTAGCATAATGTTCTCCAGTTCCATCCATGCTGTCACGAAGGGTAGTAGCTCTTTCTTCCTTTCTGCTGCATAGTATTCCATTGTGTATATGTACCATAACTTTTTGATCCAATCATCTACTGATGGGCACTTAGGTTGCTTCCAGCACTTGGCTATTGTAAATTGTGCTGCTATGAACATTGCGGTGCATAGGTTCTTTCGAATTGGTGTTTTGGAATTCTTAGGGTATAATCCCAGCAGTGGAATTGCTGGGTCAAAAGGCAGTTCCATTTTTAGCTTTTTGAGGAAATTCCAAACTGTTTTCTACAGTGGCTGCACCAGTCTGCATTCCCACCAACACTGCACTACGATTCCCTTTTCTCCACAACATTGCCATTATGCAAGTCCTTTTTTGATGGTCAAAAAACAGTTGATAAAGGTGGATGAAAGCTTAGGCATTGGAAGGTCTGACATACCTGTTCTAGAATCCTGGCCTCTTTCTTTACTGGCCTTGTGAGCTTGGACAAATTACTCAACATTATTTCTTTTTTTCTTCTCTGTAGCACAAGGATACTACTACTTACCTCAAGGGATTATTGGAATTTAAATAAAAAAATGAATGTAAAGCACCTAATATAATTCCTAGATTTGTCATAAATGTTCAGTAAATGTTAACTTTATTAACACTTAATTCCTTATTGTAAACAGCATGTGTATAGTACTGCATCATAGATTCAGGAGGTAGAACCTGACTCATTGCACCTGCTCTTAAGCAAAATGAGAAGATGAGTCACACACACAAAAAAGGCTGAATAAAAAAATACTGTAGCAAACTTACTGTATTTATCAGGGATTTCCAGGCAAGCCCTCTGTCTTTCTGTTTTACCTGCCCTGCCAGCCCAACTCTTGTAGTAGTTCATATATGATTTTCTGTTCCCACAGGAAGATTGCCTGTAGAGATAATCCCCATGGAATCATTCTCAGTGCTGGGTCCTTGGTGCTTCCTTATTTTTCTCATTGGCCTTATTCTTCAGCTCTTTCCTCCAACCTCTAAAACTCACCAAAGAAATGGAGGCCATTAGGTTAGATTGTTCTTCCTCATCCCTACAACTTCTTCTCTGTCTGTTTTTTAAATATAACAGTTTTGTTGAGATATATTCACAAAACATACAATTCACCCATTTAAAGTATACAATTCAGTGGTTCTCAGTGTATTTACAGAGTTGTGCAGCCACCGCCACAATCAATTTTAGAATATTTCTATCACCCTAAAAAGAAATCCTGTATCTAGTTAGCAATCATTCCCCCATTGCCCTAATGCCTCCCAAGCTCTAGGCAACCACTTACCTACTTTTTGCCTCTATAGATTTGCCTATTCTGAAAATTTCATAAAAGTAAATTTAAGAATATATGTTTTTGAAGGTTGAAACTAGTAACTTTTCAAAATTCTCAAACTTTTGATTTAAACCATGAGGGTAATTAAATTGACAGATATCTGCAGATATTTCTTAGGGCCCTGACTTTAACATCTCATTTTAAAAATCAGTGAGTGACTCCTAGAAGGTAAGCTCCAAGAGAGCCAGGATTTTTGTCTATTTTTTAAAATTGTTCAAATGCATTTGTTTCCATATTCCCCTGCCCCACCCTCAATCTTTGGCTTCAACCCTTCTCCACTTTGGCTTTGTCCGTGGGTCGTTTATACATGTTCCTTGACTTGACTTCCCCTTCTTTTCCCTGTTACTCACCTCTCTCCTTCCCTCTCATTACTGTTGGTTTGTTTTTTCTTTCAATGTTGCTGGTTCTATTTTTCTTGTTTGTTTGCTGATTAGGGTTTTTTTTTAACTGCTGTATCTCCAGTACCTAGGGCAGTGCTTGGCACTTACTGGTGACCTGTGGGAATCCAGTGATGAATGAGGCAAACATAATTCCTGCCCTCTTAGAGTTTAGGAGGCAAGATAGACATTAAATAAATGTCCAACTGTAGTTGTGATAAGTGCTGTGAAGCAGTTGGTGCTGTGATCATTCAGCTGAGAAGCTTCTACCTCTAGGTGTTTTGCCCGCCTTCTTTACTAGACTCTGAGCCCAAGTCTCACAGTGGAAGAAGACACTATGATTCTGATTTACTCTGAAGACGACCAGGGGCCTTATAAAGATTATGTTCAGTTTGTCAAAAGGTGTTTGGACAAATAATGGACTAGAGTAGACTACAAGTCAAACAAGAAGTTGGAACCATGGACATGTGCAAATAATAATCAGAGCACAAGATTATAAAAGTACACCTGTCTCAGGAGCAAACTTATCAGTTCCTAGGCTTCTTTACTGAGAGAGAATCTCCCCACCCTGCTTCAGTTTGTCAATGAAGATAAGATGCAGAGGCAGACTGAGATCTCAGGCTTGGCGAAGACTTTTGGATTATTTTGGCTCCTGGTCAGGAATTCCAGCTGTGGTATTGCAAATGTGCCAAATCTAAATTAGTAAAGCCTGTTACTATGTGTGTTTCCCCTATGTTATTGGTAGAGTCTTCAGCGCATGGGCAGCCAAGCTTTTGCAGAATAGAAATTTTGCCTTATGAATAAAAAAAAATTAAGGCTCCAGTGATTAAATCCTACATATGGTCTTTAGCTAGTGATGTAATAGAAAATGACCATCTTATAGTGCACAGTATAAAGGATTTGCTAGCTCAAATTAAAGCACATTCAGACCCAAATGCTGATAGGATATTTGAAAAATTATTTTAGAGAGATGGATTAAGTTTTTAAAATGTCATTGAAAAATTTTACAAATGTAACTAGTTTATGGATGAGTTCTTTGACATATAATTGTGAAATGGGTTTAGTTTCCCAGCCATTGTTTTCAACTTGCACTCCTTTGTTCCTGGGATGTCAGATCCTAACGACATCCTAGTCAGACACCCCAAACCCTCAGTTCATGGGTTTTTTTGTTCTTTTTTTTTAAATGCTCTCCAAGACCATATGTTGATAGAGCTTCAGTTAGAATCTTGGGTTTCCTGATTGTCAGGTTAGTGTTTAGGAGGTCACTGAAATATCCTGGTCAGTTTAATTTTGGAGCCATGGTTCTCAGTTTTCACTTTTGAAAAAACTGCCTAGTATTCATAAACTTATGACAACCATGGCATTTAGTTTTATAATAATATACCATTAATTGAGAGACTTGCATATATGCTGCTTCACTTAACTCTCAAAATACTTTGTACTATATTTATAACATACCTCATTTTATAGAAGAAGGGACTGAGGCTGAGAAAGTGAAATGTCTTGTTCAGGGTTACATAGCTAGAAAGAGACAGAGCCAGATTGGAAGAAGGCAGATTTGACTCCAGGGCCCATATTCTCAACATTGTGCTGTATACCTTTCAGCAGTGTGGTAGCACTCACTTCACATTATCTGGAAGCGGACTTAAACATAGTATTTTTTTGTAATGGAAACAGTCTCTTAGATTTATTGTTAAAAATGCAGGATGTACAGTGTTATGTAGGACATGCTTAATACTATACATAGTATGTGTACATACACGTATAAATGTACACATGTATCAGCGGTATGCTGAAGCTGATTCACACCATCTCGGGAGAGTTGATTGTGCCCATCTCTTTCCACCTTTGTGGTTAGTGACTTCACCTTGGCACCTTGCAGTGCTGGTATTTACATCACAGAAATCTGCAGACACTACCAGTCGGGATTTTTTTGTTTGTTTGTATTTTCTGGAAAAGCTGGTTGTTAAACATTTATCAGCACTTTGTTTATGTGTGTGTTTAAGTGTGTTATATCCTTTAAAGGATATATAACAGATTAGTAACGTAAATTACCCAAGGATAGGGAAATGTTGAAACCAATATTTTTATAGTTAGGAAATTAAATGAGAGTATAGAAAAGCCTCATGGTTGATGAGAATTAAACTTGGTATTAATTAATATTACCTTTAATACAGCTATCAAGTATTTCTCTCAGTGTCTTTCGCATCTGACTGGCATAGTGAATTGAAGTGTTCAAGCCAGGAGGAGTACTGCTTTCTGACCTTTTTTTCAGCATTTTAATATATCATGAAGACTACTGAGAGAAAGGACACTAAGACTGTGTAGAAAAGTAGATTGTTAAAATAATCCATATCAGTGACTGTACTAATGACTAGTTTACTAATTTGTTCTGCCATCAGACTCTTGACACCTGGGTGGAGATCGACTAGCTAACTGAGAAACAACTCTGGTTCTCAGACTTTTTCTTTCCGTAAAATTCTGTTAGACCACACACCAAAACACCTTTAGCTACTGATGAAAAACAAAGAAACATTGTCATGTTAATGGGATAAAATAGTAAAAATACATGTCTTGAGTAAATTTATATTAGAGACAGATGAGTAGATTTTACTATTATTCTATATAAAGTCCTTTAGTTGTTTCTAGAGTCCACATTTTTAGAATCACTGTGCTGTAGTCCTCATTACATTGAGAAGATCTGGCTTGTAATTTATATCAGCTGTTATTATCAGGAAGTTGTCTTATTTCTTATATCTGTGTTAGTAATCAAATGCAGATCAGGAAGTTTGAATCTGCTCTTAGGAAGTATTTTTTAAGAGATATGGAACTAAGACCCATTTTATTCCTGAAAGTTAGTATAGATGTATATATTAAAAAAACTTTTATATTTTATTTCCAGATGATTTCCATTGGGACAGTTACCTGAAAGAGACTGGATCTGTAAGTGCTCCTGCAGAGTATTTCAGACAGGTATGCCAAAATTCTGCAGATGTTGAATATATTAATGTAAAATATTAACTTGTCGAAGGGTATCTGTGTGATGTTAGATTCACGTAGTGTGAGGAGATGGTGGTATTGTGGTAGTGGTTTTTAAGAGCCAGATGGTCTCTTTGCATTCATTCATTAAGAATTTACTTAATGTCAGGTATACTAAGCTCTTATGGCTGACTGCCCATCTGGAAGGAAAGACAGACATGTAAATAATTAATTATGAGAAGTGTGATAACTCCGTATTGGGAGGGCTCACAGAAGTGGTGCTATATGAGATGGTTGGAATGAGGGGAGGAATATCCCAGATACAGAGAACATCCAAAACAAAGGCACATGGGTATAAAAGAAGCTGAGTGTGAGCAATGGCATGGGGTGGCTGGAGTACAAAGTGGGTAGAGGTGATAGTATAAAAATGAGATTATAGGTGTGGGGGCTTCTAAACTGTACTGAGCACTTGGGGTTTTATCTTAAGGGTGGTGAACTACCAGTTGATTTATTTCAAGGGAGTGGCCTCATCAGATTCTTATTTTAGAAAGCCACACAGGGTGCATTTTAGAGGCTTTATTTGGGTTGCCTGGAAGTGGGAAAATGAGTAAGATCAGCAGTTGGCAGTGTTTTTATGCTGCATGTCAAGCCAAGGAGAGGGTTTGGAGATTTTTTTTTAAATTAATTAATTTATTTTTTCAAATACATTTGTCTCTGCCTCCCCCCCACCACTTTCCCTTGCCCCCTCCCTTCCTCCCTCCCTCAACTACTTCCCCTTTGGTTTGTCCATGTGGAGATCTTTTTCTTGACCCTTAGTAGTTCTTAACTTTGCTCACCATCTACTGTGACTGTTATTTAAGATTCTCCTCAAGTATTCTGGTAACATAATTGGCCATTTGGTTTTTTTCATAATTGATGTATTTTAACAAATTGTATTTGTGTGTGTCTGTGTGTGCACATATATATGTATATATGTAGTCGAAGATTCCGCCAACTAATGACTTCAAAGTTGGTATGAAATTGGAAGCCCGTGACCCTCGCAATGTGTCTTCGACATGTATTGCCACCATCATTGGAGTTAGTGGTTCCAGGCTATGTTTACGCCTTGATGGTAGTGATGACAAAAACGACTTTTGGAGACTTGTTGATTCTGCAGACATACAGCCCATTGGAACGTGTGAAAAGCAAGGGGACTTACTACAGCCTCCACTGGGTAAGGATAAACAGTTTTTAAAATAACATTCTTACTAATGTAATATTCTGTAGAAATAGTTTTAATGGCCTTTTAAAAATCTGTTCTCCTAGGCATTCTTGCAAATAGATGGTCAGGTGGTTACTGTGGAAAATGTGTGAGAGAGGAACTCATCAGTACTGTATTTTAGAGAGTTTCACTAAGTACACATTTGGTGTATATGTGCTAAAGGCTTACCACTCCAGGGAAAGACTCATGCTGCCTTCAAACTTGAAATGTCAAAAGCTGCTCTACTAGATTACACATGCAGACTCAGAAACCCTTCCGGGGAAGTAGTTTGTAGCATTTGGTACAAGTCACTTCCTCTCTCAATATTGTCCACGGAGCAGTTCAGCATTTTCAGTATGGGGGTAAGCATAGAGGATTCCATATCCAGGCTCAGAGAGATGCGAACTTGGGAATTCCATTTCATCTACAGTGGGAAGAAATCATGGTGAGATGGGTAGGACAGTATCTTTAGGTCTTTGAAAAGCAGGAGATGGATGGAATTTACCAGCAAAGGTTTTTAGTTAAAAAGCTCTCTATTTAGACCAACTTTTTAAAAGGTAAACAGTATGTGACTTTAATTTTGGGCAAATTTCTTCTTTTACTGCTTAGGTGTATCATGATATTTTATAATAAGTGATTTCATTTATTTTTTCACTTCTACATTCTGAATGAATGGTGGGTTTTGGTTTCTATTTGTTTCTTCTTTACAGTGCTGAAAATGAAAATTCCCTATTATAAAGCACAATGGGAAAATGGATTTTTTTTGTCTACTATTAGTGAAAGATTCTCTGAGAATTAAAGTTTGATTTATTACTAATAGCTATCCTTAGCGATATCTTTTATACTGTTATTGCTTTAATTGTTAATTATTCCTAATTTGGCTTAAACTGTTTTTAAAAACTGTTCAGAGATGTGTTATTCCAAGAAGATGGTTTAGGGTGGGTGTGTTTTCTGCTTTTTGCCGTCTTTTCTTTCTTCATATCATTCACATTTTTTTTTATTTTTATAACATTTCTGAAATCATACAGAATTCTGCAAGAGGTGTAAGTGTAGAGCTGAGACTTAGTGCTTTCCTGTTTGGACTTTCTCAGTTTACAATATGGTAATATGTTTTTGTATTTTGTTTAAAGGAAATTCAGCTATTTTGATTGCCAGTATTTCAAACATATAGCCAGATTTATTATTTTTTCAGATTACTTTTAGAGTTTATTAACTAAAGATATGAAATACATAATAATACATGCTGACTAGTATATATTTTTGTAGTACATAGACAAAATACATAATTTTTGCCAGTTTGCTTACTACACTTGAATAGTTTCCATTTTAATGTAACAACTTACTTAGTTTTCCTATTAAAAATAGGTTTATTTATTGAAATCTTAAAGGTTATATTTAAAAGATTTTTTAAAGTTTTGTATGCAAACAGAAAAGTATACAGATCATAAGCATACAGCTTATAAATGAACACACCTGTATAAACCACCACCTAAATCAAGAAATAATACAGTAGCAGCATCCCAGAAGCCCCACTTCTGCTGACTGGGGAGTCATAACCTCCCACTTCCCAAAGGTAACCACTGCTCAGACTTCCTAACATCATAAATTAGTTTTCTGTGTTTGAATTTTTATATCACTTTCATCAATTTTTTTAGCCTTTTAATCTACATTTGACTTTAGGGAATTACAAAATTAAGAAAAATGTTAAACTGAGAAAAAGCAGGGGCATGATGCAGTAGGATAAGATGGGGTTAAAAGAAATGCATAAGGATCAGAGAATGGTTCTTGTGCAACATTCTGACCACAGTGTGGAAAATCTATGCTGTGGGTAACTTTATTAGATATCACTAATAATATTGACTTATTATAAGGGAGTATGTTACAAATCCTCACCCCCAGCCCCCTTTTTTCCTAGCAACAATTATTTCCCTAATCAGAATAGGGGAGTTTGGTACAGGATTATTATAGAATAACTATCTGTCTGAATTTTTTTGCATGTTTTATCCTATTGATGGACCCATTGCTAGGAATTTATATGCCTCCCTATCTTAACGCATGTATCCATCAAGGATGTATGCCAAGTTCTCTCCAATTCTGGCATCAAGGGAGGCAAGTGTTATATGAAGCAGATTGCCCCCAGAAAACAGTTAAACTAGCAGAACCCTGTTACCAAAGGTTGTGATAGTCACCATCAATTGTAAGATCTCTAGAAAAGATACCTGTTGAGTCTATTTTGATAGCATCTGATACAAATTCTAAGAGAAGATTATGTTTAGTGTGTGTAAAGATTACTAAAGTGAGAGCTGTATTTTTCTCTAACACGTATGAAAAATTCCGAACGTATAAGGTAAAAGAATTTTACAATGAGCACCCACATACTCACTTCCTAGGTTCTACCATTATCATTTTATTATAGTTGCTTTATCACTCATCTGTCCATCTGCCCTTCTGTCAGTTTTTCAATCCATCTTATTTTTAAATGCATTTCAGAGTAATTGACATCAGTACATTTCCTTTGAATACTGTAGCATGCATATCATTTAGAGTTCAGTGTTTATTTGCAGGTTTTTTTTGGTGACATTTACATGCAGTAAAGTGTACCATCATTAGTGTACATTTGCTGAGTAAGACAGAAAACTGTGTTCTTCTGAAAGAAAATAAGGCAGGTGAAAAAGAGGGGCTGGAAGTCTTTAGCAGCCTTTGCCTTCTTGTGTGGCTGTTGGTGAGAAATAGAAGCTCTCCTGGGTTCTGGCTTGGATGACCTGAGTGTTGTCGCCTATTCCTAACACATATGAGTATGTTGGCAAACTCTATCTAGTGGCTTTTCTAAAATGAGAGTTTCTACCTATACTGTAGCATTGTTGCCAAACAATACAGTGGGTACCATAGCACTGATTGGAGAGTGCAGCTGCTCCTCTCGCCCATTTCCTGAGTTCCTCGATAAGAAAATCATTCTCTGAAGAATAGTAAGGTGACAGCTATTTTTAATACCAGCTTGCTTTAAGATCATAGCTTTTTATGATATCTGATGTAATTTTTTAAATAGGGTACCAGATGAATACCTTATCGTGGCCAATGTTCCTCTTGCGAACACTGGATGGATCTGAAATGGCACCTGCAACATTCTTCAAGGAGGTAAGAAAAGATTTCTAAAGAGATTCCATCAGTTGGGCTATGGTTTTAGGAACACTTAAATATTTTGTCTCCTCTGACCTGAAAAAACAAAAAGGCTTTTTAAATTACTGGGTTGGCAAGTATATTAGTCTGCTAGCCTGACGTGACAAAATACTATAGACTGGATGGCTTAAGCAAAATAAATTTAGTTTTTCACAGTTCCGGAAGCCAGAAGTACATTAAAGTGCCATCAGGGTTGGTTTGTGGTGAGGACTCTCTCCTCTGCTTATGGATGGCTGCCTTTTCTCTGTGTTTTAACATGGCCTCACAGGGGGAAAGGAATCTCTGGTTTCTCTTCCTTTTCTTATAAGAACAACAGTCCTATTGAATCAGGGCCCTACCCTTAGAACCTCACTTAACTCTTTATTACTGCCTTAAAAGCCCTATCCCTAAGTAGTCACATTGAGGGTTAGGGCTTCAGTTCGTGAGTTTTGGGAGGGCATAGTAAGTACATAACAGTAGCTTGAACAAAAGAAATTATTTTCTGAAAGCTCCGGAGGCTAAAAGTTTGAGATCAAGGTGTCATCAGGCTTGGTTTCTTTGAGGCCTCTCTCCTTGGCTTGTAGTTGGTGGGAGCACACAATTCAGCCCATAACAGCAACTCATGAAGAAAGCTCAATTATAATCATTCACTAGTCAAAATGAATTAATACCCTCTTTACTTCCCTCCCCCCTTCCTTTATTTCTTACTGTATTTTTCCATTACCATTTACCCCCCTTTTCCCCCTCCTCCCTGCAATCACAACTTTGTTGTCCCATGTCTGTGAGTTCTTTTTCCTTTTTGCTCAACCCCTCTACTCCGTAACCACCACTCCCTATAGCTGGCATCCTCCTCTTTATGAGTCTCTCTCTATTTTCCTTGTTAGTTCAGTTAGTTCATTAGATTCTACATGAGTGAAGTTATGTGGTATTTGCCTTACTCTGACTGGCTTATTTCACTTAGCATGATGTTCTCTAGGTCCATCCTTGCTGTCACAAAGGGTAAAATTCTTTTTTATAGCCGAGTAGTATTCCATTGTGTAAATGTCCCATACTTGTTTTAGCCACTCATCCACTGATGGACACTTACTGATGGACTACTTGGGCTGCTTCCATATCTTGGCGATTGTGAATAATACTGCAGTGAAGATGGGGTGCTTGTGTTTTTTCAGATTAGTGTTTTGGGTTTCTTTGGATGTATTACCAGAAGTGGGATTGCTGAGTCAAAAGGCAGATCAATTTTTAATTTTTTGAGGTATCTCCATACTGCTTTTCACAGTGGCTGCACCAGTCTGCATTCCCACCAACAGTCCAAAATACCCTCTTTCCTCTGCACCCAAACTGTGGATTGTATGTGCTGAAACTGGGATTGAACCCATGTCCCAGGCATGGACCCTGACTAGGAATTGAACCTGCAACCTTTTCCTTACCAGATGACACTCCAACCAACTGAGCCACATTGGCCAGGGTTCAGTCACTTAAATTTTATTACAACTGTTCATATTAGGAATGATAAACATTTATTGTAGTTTTAAAAAACTTTTGAAGAAGGTTAAGGACATAAGGATGTGACACATCAATTAATAAGACTCATGCATTGCAAAAGAAAAATTCCTTGAGTACATCTTTGAGTAGCATGAATACTAAAAGTGGGCTGCCCTACCAGCAAGGAACAGACAGATGTTGTAAGTCCTTTGGGCACTGTAAAGCATATGTAAGAATAGCTAATAATAGGGAATGGTTAGCAGTAGTTTTTATTAAACACCTATTAGCTTGGGCTGTGGCTTTAGAAAAGCATTGAATTTATTTTACTTATCATACCATTTTATCAGCTAGTCACAAGCCACATGCCATACACATTATCAAACTCTACACTTAGCTACAGTAAAAAAATGAGTATCCCTTTATCTTGTCTATTCCTCTATTCTACTGTTCTCTACAAATTGAAGTTTTGTGTTCTCCCAGACTGTTTACTGTGTATTCACAAACGTATATGGGCTTTTATTTTCTAAACATAATTTGGTATATATTTTATATATTGTTCTGTGATTTAATTTTTCCCCTAAATTATGTATATTTTGGAAATCTTTACATTTCAATTTATTTATATTTCAGGTTGTATGGTACTCTTCTGTATTATGGATTACTGTAATTGATTTAACTTCTGCCTAAGGATAGATGCTTAGGTTCTCTCCATATTCTTGTTTAAATCATCTGCAGTGAGCATTCTTGCTTAGGACTTTTTATATAAGTGTGAATAGCTACATTCTTAGAAGTAGAATTGCTGGTTCAAAGGGAATGTATGCTTTAAGTGTTGATAAATACTGTTAAATTGCATTCCAAAAGGGTATTCCAAGCTATGCTCCACTACTGGTGTATAGCTATGTTTGTATTCCCACACATTCACTAATATTGAATATTATCAATCTTTTAAAATTTTATGAATCAGCTCAGGCTGGTGTGGCTCAGTGGATTGAGTGCTGGCCTGTACACCAAAGGTCGCTGGTTCAACTCCCAGCCTAGGGCACATGCCTGGGTTGCAGGCCAGGTCCCCAGTAGGGGGTGCTTGAGAGGCAACCACACATTGATGTTTCTCTCCCTGTCTTCCTCCCTCCCCCTCTCTAAAAAGAAATAAATAAAATCTTTTAAACAAATTTGTGATTTTTTTTTGAAAGTGGGGACAGGGATAGTATCCCTTCGTTATAATTTTCATTGAACTGATTACAACTGAAACTGATCTTATTTTAAATGTGTTTAATGGCCTTTTATTCTGTGAATTGCCAGATTATTGCCTTATCCTGTTTTTCTATTGGATTTCTCTTCTTACTCTTAATTACTTGTGGGTGCTTTTTCAGCCAAGCTTGAAAATTGGCCAGGAGCTATCCTCACTCCTCCTTGACACTGGCCTCTGGATAGCTAATATAAAGGCCCAGCCACTTAGCTTCCTAATTATTTGTTGTGCCTCTTCTTTCTAATCTTACCACCATTGCCCATGTACCAGTTTCCCTCTTTGCTGTACTGTCATATAACTGCCTCTTATCTTCACCTTTCCACACAACTGCTAGAAATACCTGACACAGAAGCTTTACCACATCTTTCCCCTGCTTGAAACTCTTCTGAAGTTCCTAGTTGCACTCAGGATGAAGTATGTTTGTTAATATGGTCTTTGAGGTACTGTATGATCTGGTTTATGGCTACTACTTTTTGCTTTGGATTTTACATTCTAAATTGCTTGTAATAAGCCTGTTGATGTCATGTTTCTTTTTAGAACTTGTTATCTCTGATTAACTCCTATTTTTCTTTCAAGATTCAAGTCAGGTATTAAATCCTCCAAAATTACTTTCCCTAGTTCCCCCTTTTCATTCTTACTCTTCTGTAGCACTTTGTGCATATCTCAATCTTTGTAGGTATTGGATTATACTATTTTCATTGTCTCTTGCTTCCTAGACTGAGTTCCTCTTGAACAGTTAACATATCTTTGTATTCTCAGTGCCTATCATTGATCCTGGTATGTACGTACATGTTAAATGAATTAAGAAAGGTTAGAAAGTACAGAAAGATGAATACATGTAGAGGGAGAAGACGGGTTTTGTTTAGGACATGTTGGGGTGCCTTAGGGAAATTTGAAGGATTACTACCACCAGACTCTTGGAAGTAAAGTGTTTAAAACTTAGAAACAAGGTTTTGTTTGGTTATGTGCATTTGGGAGTTTTTAGTTTCAACGGTAATGATGGGAGCCTTGAGCATGAATGAGATAGTTCAGAATATATAGGAGAAGAGAGGAGTGTCAATGTTAGAACCTTGAGAAATACCCACTCACCTTTATAATGTATAAATATTCATAGTAGGTACTGAATAGAGGTCAGTTAAGAGGAAAGTTGATTAGTTGCTGTTTGGTAGCTAGGAAGCTCATCAGTTACATGAGCAAGAACTAAAGGCCAGGTGAACAGTGTCCTCAGATATAGTTAAATTGTAATTGTGGGGGCAGAATATTGATAGAGCCCGTTGCTGATAGCCTCAATTTACTACTCTGTGAATAGGAAGCTGCCAAAGGCTGGAGGGGAGGATTCATACATAGACTGAATGTCCACTGTGTTCTAATACTACTGAGGCAGAGAGCTTCTCTGGTTGTGGAGAAGGTCAGTTAAAAAAAAAATAGCCCTGGCTGGTGTGGCTCAGTGGATTGAGCTTTAGTCTGTGAGTCAAGGGGTCGCTGGTTTGATTCCCATTCAGGGCACATGCCTGGGTTATGGGCCAGGTCCCTAGTGGGGGGTGCACGAGAGGCAACCACATATTGATGTTTCTCTCCCTCTCTTTCTCCTTTCCTTCCCCTCTAAAAATAAACAAAATCTTAAAAAATAAAATAATAAACATATAATGAGGATACATTATTAGTCTTAAGGTGAATGGCAAAGGTTTGAAATAGCTTCTGCATGGGTTGGGAGAGGTAATGGCTTAGGGACACAGAAGATTAAAAGATTGAAGAAAGGAAGAGAAGGAGCCATGAGGCTACAAGGGTAAGAATATTCCAGGCAGAGGGTAATGCAGATAATACTGAGATTGGCTTCAGAGTTGGTGGGATTTGAGAAGAAATATCCTTTAAGGAGAAACATAGGTAAGTGAGGGGGGACATTAAAAGACCATTCTTTACTAGTCACCTTCTAGAACAATATTTTTTTTCTCACAGTAAAAGAAAAAACAATGATCCCTTGTTTATTTTACTATTGCTTTTGCAAATTATATCTTTATATTTAGGAAGTCACTCAAGAACTGATGTTGACAAACTGTATTCTTTAAAAACTTTTAAAAGTGACTAAAGTTGCTTTGATATAAATGATACATCTTTTGATATATGCTTTGCTATAATGCTATAAATATCATTACCCTTTGTGGACAGCAGAGGGAACCATTTTACCAATTATCTAAATCTGGAGGTAGCTTATTTTGAGATAAAGCCCTTTCATTTACTATGTTATGCAAAAAGAGCAGTTTCTTTTTTTTTCTTTCAAAGGTTCTGTTAATATTTGTATAGCTGTACTGATGTAAGTTAAATTGATAAGTAAATTCATGAAATTTAGAAGATTAATAAACGGTATGAAAATCTTCAGAGAATAAGTAGCAGAAAAGTGTATATTGCCATTTGAACTTGGTTTGCTTTGCCACAGAAAGTCTTACTCTTACTCTTTCATATGACAGTTTAAAGTCCTGGGATCCTTATGTGTGCCTTGAATGTTTCTGCATTCTGTGAATGTCTAGTACAAATTTATCAACTACAAGGTTATCCTTTTTCCCCATATGTGGTAATAGACAATTGACACTAGTCAGTATACAACTCTGTTTCTTACCAGCTGTTTAGTTATTAAATGTTTTTGATACTTGATCAAGCTAACTTTTGCTCTGCTTACTTTCAGTGTGGTTTTAAATAAATTAAGAATATGTAATTTTAATTTACCTATTTTTTACATGCAAAGTCCTTTTAAGGACGTTGAGGGCCAATAATTAAGGATAATAGTGGAAAAATATGGGGTAATGAGATGAGTTTAAAGGGAGCATAAGAAAAAGGAACCAGATATATTTCTTAAATTATAACTTGGTGAAAGATTTAATTGAGAGCTTGTTTACTGTTCCTCAGGTGATTCCTTGGTTCATTCAAGTTTTCTTTTTAAACTGCTTGCTGTTGGATACTGTGCTGGGAATAATGTGAATAAGATGTAGTGCTTTTGAGAATCTGATTGTCTCATTGAGGAACACATTCCAACAGTAGTTCCACAGTTAAAGGCAAGAGTGTCTCTCTTTGAGGTGGGCCTACGGGTGGGTAGGATTTGATTAGGGAAGCTTTAGGAGGCCAAGAGAGCTGGGATTTGGACATGGATGAGTTGGAGTTGGCCAGCCAGATGATGGGGTAGGGCGTTCCATGGAGTTGGTTGCCTAGGTTTAAAAATCTACTGTTATTATGGTGTATTCTTAGGCAATTGTGTGTAAATTTTATCATCTGTAAAATGGGGATTATAATTTCACTGACTTCATAGGGTGTTCTGAGAATTAAATTAATATGTGGAAAACAGTGCTTGGCCTATATAACTAATTGAAGATTAGCTTTTAATGTTTTTATTGTAGATATTTAGGGAGTAGAATTGGCTGGTTGTGGTCTTTGAGTGTGAGTATTAAGGGAAAAGGATGTTTCTAGGGTTCTCAGCCTTGGATGCACATTAGTATCACCTGGGGAATTAAAAGGTGCTGATGTCCAGGCGCCTTCCCCCCAGACCAGTTTAATACTTTCTCTGGTGGCATGGCCCTCAGGTAATTCTAATGTTCAGTTGGGCTGAGAGCCACTGGTCTAGGACTATTCCAGGCTTCTGGCATGGGTGACTGGGTTGCTGATGTTGCCATTTAATAGGATAAAATGCAAATTGAAAGAAATGATGTTGTTTTTATCATAGCACTTGGGCTTTCTAAGAATCCTGTTAGTATTTGCATGCTTTAACTTTTGAAACTAAGGATTACTTTTTAAAGTATTTTGGATTGGATATCATAAATGACCTCAGACTATATGAGTATATCTGACTTTTATGTTCTTGTGTCTGCATTTTATACTGAGTTTCTTTTTGGATATTATCTGTTATTGTTTCTTCTCTTTGGACTTTGCACCTTTTAACATACCCTATAATTTACATATTTATTGGTTGGTTTGACTCCCTCTTTTAAAGTTTATTGTTGAGTGCTTCTCCCACTTTCCCCTACTCAGCCCTCAACCTTATTACCTCCACCACTAGAATGTAAGCTTCACCAGAGCAGGGATCTTTGATATTTTTGTTCACCAGTGGATCCTGAATTCTTAGTACATAGTATATTATACATATTTCTTGAATGAATGGATAGATGGATAAATAAATGAATTACTGTCAGGTTGGTTTTGTTTCCTTCCAGATTCTTGGCTCTGCTCCAGAGTGAGATGTTACAGAGCAGAGTTTCAGAGAGATCTGTATTTAATTAATATACATGGAACTCAATTTTTGGTTGCTAAATGCTGTAAGAATACAATTGAGCAAATGCTTAACACATCCAAATAATGAAAACTTTTTTAAATGTTTTGATAGGAACCGCCAAAGCCACCTCTAAATAATTTTGAAGTGGGGATGAAACTGGAAGCTGTAGACAAAAAGAACCCTTATATGATATGTCCTGCAACTATTGGAGGTGTTAGAGGAGATGAAGTTCATATCACATTCGATGGCTGGAGTGGAGCTTTTGATTATTGGTGCAAGTACTATTGCCGAGATATTTTCCCAGTTGGGTGGTGTCACCTGGCAGGACATGTATTACAACCACCAGGAACTCATGGTAAGACAATTAGTAACTACATGTTCCTTTATTTTATTGAGCTATACATAACTGCTGTTGGCACTGTAGTTAGCATTTCATGCCCACTGGAGCCATAGGCAGAACAGCAAGAGCACTGTCCAGGCCAGATAACTGGAGATAAAAGAAGGCTATGATTAGAATTCTTGAGGGCCAACCCAGCACCATAGTCTGAATTGACAGTCCACACTGGAGAGTATGGGCAAAGCTCGATGCTATACTTGGACTGTTGAAGCCTTGGTATTATAAGCACTTTGGGGTACTCAGCTTCTTTTATAGTTGATAGTAAATTTAAAAATACACACATTATTCCATTGTTTATATATAGAAGATAGATTTTAAAAGGTTGGGCATAACAACTCTTAAGTTACATGTTTTATATGATTTTGGTCATTTTGCAAATTAAATTGATACTTTGATAGTCTTAAGTAAAATCTACACATCAGTGAACAATTTCAACTCTATGAAAGTCATCGTAGATGAGTACCAGGGAGGACCAAAAAGGAAAACTGGAATTATCTTCTGGAGGGCAGGTTCCTTGTAGTACAGGCTTACCCTGCAAGGTGAGTGCTTTAGGAACCTATCTGTGTCAGTATACTATTGGGAATTATTGTGAGAGGCTGCGTTCAGTGAATTTTTTTTGAAGACCCCTTCAACACGTTTGCCCATTACATGATGGGTGATTTACAAGGGCACCTGCCCACACTGCAGAGCGTTCAGCAGTTTTTGACCAAAAACAGCATGACCCCCATGCATCACCCTCCCTATTCACCCAATACCATCCCAAGCAACTTTTTTTTTTTGTTTCCCTGGATGAAAAAAGTCCTCAAAGGGAAACGTTTTGTTGATGTAGAAGAGATGAAACAAAAAACGGCAGAAGCACTAAAAAGCATCAAAATTGACAAGTTGAAAAACTGTTTTGAGCAGTAGAAAAATCTTATCAATAGGTGTGTTGCATCAAATGGAGAGTGAAGGTGACTGAAGTTTAAACATGTAAGAATAAATACACAATATTTTATAAATAAATTCCATTGTTTTGGGTCCCCCTTCATGTTATTTTAGTCATTGATTTATCAGTTGTAATGCTGTTTCATAAATTTGAATATTATGATTTTTCAAGGTATTTTCTTTCAGAGAAAAGTCATCAAAACATTAGACTTTCTTGGTGACTCTTCCAAAGGCTTAGACATGCCTAACCTGGTTTTTTTGTGATGGAATAGCTGCTGAGATTTAAAGGGGATACATTCATATAACCCAGTCATTGGCCTGAGTTAAATATAAACTTATTAGTGGAATCAAATGTAAACATACTAAAATTTACCACACTAACTTTTTTATGCCAGAAAAAAGAAAAAATGGGTGTAGAAAATGAGTAGGTAAGATGCATGGAGGAGGGCAGTAGCTAGGTAAGAGCACAGAAGTATAACCATATTACACTAGTCCTTTCTTACTTGCAGGAGCTATGTTTCAAAACCCCCAGTGGATATCTAAAATCTTGGGTAATAGTGAACCCTATGTATACTATGTTTTTTTCCCCTCTACATACATACACTTTACGACTTCTCTTTGGCATATACAAATTGCCAGCATCACTACTTTTGCACATTGGGGCCATTATTAAGTAAAATAAGGATTACTTGAACACAAGCACTGTGACATCATGGCAGTTGACCTAATAACTGATATGGCTACTAAGTGACTAGTGGGTGGGTAGCATACACAGCATGGAGATGCTGGACAAAGGGATGATTCACATCCTGGGTGTGTGAGAATGGTATGGTGTGAGATTTTATCATGCTACTCAGGATAGCACACAGTTTAAAACATATGAATTATTTACTTCTGGAATTTCCCATTTAATATTTTTGGCCTGGAGTTGACCACAGGTAATTGAAGCCATAGAAAGCAAAACCACGTATAAGGAGGGACTGCTGTATTTTTGTAACTGCTTTAAAATTTTCTGTAATTTGAGACTTTTAATACATCCCATACTATAATACTACATACTTTGATGTTCTTTTTATCAGGTACTGCTTACCAGTTCCTTACTGCCATAATTTTAGGAAGCAGACATTATTGATTGATTTTTGTCAAATTTAGTATGATCCAGATCAGTATGCACATGATGCTAAGATAAATGAGGCATAGTTTCTGCTGTCAAGAAGTTGGAAGAGGGACGGAGGGATAGATTAAAAAAAAACATGATACAGAATTAATACTGTAAAAATGGAGATGTATGCTAGATATAAGGTGGCCTAAAGATATCCAGTCTGTTTAGGCTGGAGGGAAAGGTGGTTGGGTAAAGGAAAGCTTCACAAAAAGACACATGATATGAGTATTATGAGAGGAGAAGGAGTTTGTCAGGCAGAATCGAGATAAAGGTAGAATGGACACATCACAAAGGTTAAAATTACAGAGTTTATCCTGAAAACTGATGTGTTCAGTTTGGGACACAGTGACTTTGGACTGTGTAGCTAAGAATGCTGTTGGTCTTCAGTATCTGGTCTCCCATTTTTTCTTAGTAATGCAATTTGGCTGCCTAACATAAAGACTATCTTTTCAGCCTTTCTAGCAGTTAGATGTGGTCATGAGATTACGTTCTGGTCAATGGAATAAAAGTACAGGTAGTATATTCTACTTCCAGGTGGTGTATTGCAGAGAGATGAATTTACCCTTCTCTCTTCCTTCCTCCTGCTTTTGTCCTGCTGCTAGGAATGTGGTTGTTTTGGGTGGAGCTCCATCTTGGACCATGAAACAGGGACCATATTCTAAGCATAGTGGAGTGGAAAGTAGAAAGGAGCTAGAGTCCCTGAGAACTTTGTGGAGAAACATTTTCATACTATCCTGTTCCAGACTGTTATTTGAGAGAAATAAACTTCTATGTTACACAAACCACTATTCTTTCAGGCTTTTCTGTTATAGTTAGCCGAAATTAATCCTAATTGATTCAGGATAACTTTAGGACATTCCTGTGGGCATGTCCATTGGATAGCTGTGTGTGTAGGGATGGAGCCTAAAAGAGATAGGTCTTGGTTGACAAAGCAGGTTTGAGAGTCATCATGTTCACTCAAACAAATATTCTTTGTGTCAGGTGGGATTATAGGTGCTGGCTCGGGGAAGGCTGGGCAGCTTATTGTTAGCTGTAAGTAGTGGACGTGTTAGGTGTGGTTTTAATTATGCATGTGTAACAGGTGGAGGTGGAAGAGGACCAACTCTAGGACTTCATGGGTTAACAGTTAAAACAATAATTCTCACACTTGAATCACCTGGGAGAGCTAGTTACAAGGCTGACGCCCTGGAACTCTCATCCATGAATTCTGAATCAGTCGGTATGGACTGGAGCTCAGGTGCTTGCATTGCACGTGGTTTGAAGCCCAGTCTTTGAGAAACAGAAAAGTGATGGATGGGTAGAAGATAGAAGTTGATTTAGGACACTAAGAAAAAGTATTTAAAAAAAAATCAACTCTTTGTCATAAAAGTAAAAAAACTTTTTTCAGTCATTTGCTTTTTAATGTTTATAGTCTTTAAAACAGTATGGAAAAATTAAATTTATTGACTTGAATATTAAATAATTTAAGAACCTTAGAGTTAGATAATTTTAAAAGGTATAAATAATAAATTAATTGAATTTCATAAATTTTAAAAATCTATTATGTTTCTTAATTTTGAATAGTTCTTAAACACACTAGAAATGTTTTTCAACATTAGTTTTAGGATATCTCACTTAAAACTTTTTCAAATAACTAATGACTAAGGACAGTTAGTTCACTTACATAGTTTCTTAAAGAAATGTACTGAGGCATCCATGAATGCTACTTGATTTGACTTTATATTAAAAAAGTACTCTGTAAGCTTTAATGGATTTTCTGTTTAGTAATACAGTTTAATTTACTTTAAAACTTTTTAACAAATTTTTTCTCCCTGTGTTAACACTTCTATAATCAGAAATAGCCAAGTTCTTATCAGGCTTATCATTGGTAGAAAAATCCACTGAGAAACATACCTGGAATAGAATATTCAGCAAGCTGTATGGACCGCCCCCGCCTTGTTTATTTAGGTTCTCCTTTCTTGGTTCTTGTGATAACCCTACAATGTTTAAAAGCCCTTTGCTTCTGGTTGGTGCTGTCACAGCTCATCACATTTATTCTGGAGACCTGTACATAGTGTCTAGTGAGAAAGAGGAAAGAAATATGTGTGCTGCTGTTTCCCTGGCAACTTAAAGAAGCCCGAATCAAGTAAACTAAAACAAGGGCCATTGTAGATTTTCTTTGTGAAGAATTTATTTGATCTTGCTGTTTTCTGTTTCATCTTGTCCCCCTGCTTTGTATCTTACATATTAGTTCTCTCTTAAAAAATGATATTTAGGAATGTTCTGTAAGCTTTTGGTTTCTTCTTGTTACTTCCCTTCTTTTGTCTCCAGCATATACAGTTACAGGAATTTACAGCCAGTCATCTCATTAAAGTACAAATATTTAGTACATTAAAGTACAAAGATTTAATACACAAAGGAGTAAGACTTAGAATCCAGCAACTTCAAATGAGAACTGGGACTACCATTATTTCAAAGGCTATTTGTGATTTTCAAAAAAATCTTTTCTTTTTTTCTGTCTTTATTGGGAAAGTTTATAAACAAATAAGTTACTATATTGTTCCTATAATTGTACTTATTTCTTTTACTTTTTAAAAATGTTTTAAATTTTCTTTCTGTAATTTTATTTTTGAACACAATAAATCAATAAATGTAGGTTTTTCATCTGTTGAGAAATTGGAGAAATTCAGAAGCAGAGGCTTCTTTTTAAAAATTTGTGTCAATGTTAAATTTCTAATATTGTGGGATATTAAAATTAAAAAAAAATTCCTACATTTTAAACCATTTTTCCTGGATTTAAAGGTACTTAAATATTTTTAAAGTTAAGTATATAAATTAAACTGCGAATTTATTGGTTTTATTTAACTTAGCTTCAGATTAATGCATCATTGAT